GTTCCATTGCAGATTGCTAAAAAAAAAAAAAAAAAAAAAAAAAAAAAAAAAAAAAGGGCATGCACCATTGCACAAACACTGAGAGGGAAGTCATGGCAGGAAAGAAAACTCTGTGATGCCAAGGGGATTGCTCAATCTGACTCAGAGCTGTCTTGTTTTCCTCGTGGCCAGAGAGAAGGCAGGACACCCAGCTTCACAAAACATCCTCTGAGTCTCCAGATGCCCTGCCCTCTCTCTGCTCCTTGCCATTGGCTGTGCTGCATCAAACACTAGGGCTTCTCTAGTAATTATGAGCTTGTAAAAACAAATGGTAACTTACAGTATAAACAGTAAGAACTTGGTGGATACTGGAAAAATAAAAATAAAAAAAAACTTCCAAAAACTCTTTTTGCAAAACAGATCACTTAATAGGCTGCAGGACACAGACTTTCCATTGAGTATCACTGTTTTTATAATGATCTAACATCAATCTCTGCCAGAGCCCTGTTTACTCATGTTAGCACATGGCAGAGAAGCATATCCATGTCTCCCTGAGTTGGACAGTGGGAAGGGGGAGGAGGAGGAAAAATGTGTGCAAGGGACTTCAGAGCCTATGTCCTAACCATGTCCCAGCCATTTCTGGAGAGAAAAAGAAGCAACAATTAGGTTAGCACAATGTCACTAGTGAAGAAGGTCTTGTCACCCCAACCTCCCTTTGGGAACATGCAGGTGTTCTCTCTCATCATTGACGTTTCTATCTTTCTCTCCCTCTCCCTTCCTCTCTGAAATCAATAAAAAATATATGTTTTTAAAGAAAAAATTAAGAGAAGCAAAACATTCTAAAGAAGAGGTTTCCTGAAAACAAGGTGGAGGGAGACGTAAAAGGGAGAGAGCTAGACGCATCAAGGGAGCACCCACTGATGAAGAAGGCGGCTCCCTGAACAGCTGCCGGGTCTGACTTACAAAGGGCTGGGCTCCTCACGTAGGTGCCAGGCAGGGCTCTTTGATTTTCCAGTTCTCTCCATGAGCTGGTATCCACTGGCGCAGGCACAGAGCTGCGCTCTTTGGGAGTGCCTGAAAAGGAACTTTCAACTTATCCAGGAGAGGCTTAAAAACCACCGAAGAGCATTCCATCCACCTGAGACAGGCTCAGCCTGTCTCAACAACAACATGAGACAGCTCAAATATGCTGCTGAGTGAAAGAAGCCAGACGGACGCACGTGCACTAACACCCCATGATTCCCTTTATGGGAAGTGCAAGAAGAGGCACAAGCTCAAGTCTACAAGGGCAGGTGTGTGCATTGCCAGGAGCCAGGGGTGGGCATGGGACTGACTGCAGAGGCACTAGGCAACTTTCTGGGGTAGTGGGAATGTTCCAGACCTTGATGGAGTTGGGATACTGTTGTATGCTAAAAATTTCTCATCTGAACACAAAACGTGAGGGGTTTTAGATACCCCATTCAATGTGATCTCAGACATCAAGTCTTTCAAGCTGTGGACAAAAAACATAAACAGAGTCAGTAACGTGGCACCCCCAGGAGAGAAGCAAGAGCAGCAGCTGTGCGTTGACACACGTTCTCCCAGTTGCCTGCTTTCTTCACTGTCGCCTTCCCACCTGCCCCTGCACCTTCTTGGAAGGGGTCCCCCTGCATCTTCTTCCCATGAGCCCACCCACAGTTTATTGTCCACTGCTGAGCTGAGGTTCTGGATCATATCCTTGGCCTGCTTAAACAGCCTCCAATTCCTTCTCGCTACCTCATCTCAGGACCTTTGCACTGGTTGGTCTCAGTGCCTGGAACTTTTTTTTTTGTCCTTTAGGTTTCAGCTTAGATGCCTGTCATCTCAAAGATGTAAATTTTTGGAATATTTGTTCTAGTTCTGTGAAATATGCTATTGGTATTGTGATAAGAATTGCATTGAATCACTTTGAGTAGTATGGACATTTTAGTGATGTTAATTTTTCCTATCCATAAACACAGTATTTCCTTCCATTTATTTGTATCATCCTCAGTGTCTTTCTTCAGTGTCTTATAATTTTCTGAGTAGAGGTCTTTTACAACCTTGGTTAAATTATTTATAGGTCAGCATTGTGCAGTTTCATAACCAAAGGAGACACCATTATTGCTAATTGGAAAAAAAAATTATTCTAGGTTATATTTTTAAGCAATTGTGAAAGAGACTGTTTTTTTAGTTTCCCTTTCTGATAGCTCATTTTTGGTGCATAAAAATGCAACTGACTTCTGGATATTAATTTTGTATCCTGGTACTTCACTGAATTCATTTATTCTAGTAGTTTTTGTAGAATCTTTATGGTTTGCTGTATACAGTTTTATGTCATCTGCAAATAATGACAGTTTACTTCTTTCTTTCTATTTGAATATCTTCTAATCTGAATGCTGGGGCTAGGACTTCCTGTTATATGTTGACTATGAGCTATGAAAGTGGATGTCCATGCCTTGTTCCTGATCTTAAGGGGAATGGCTTATAGTTTTGCCCATTGAGTATGATGTCGGCTGTGGGATTGTCATATAAGGCCTATATTCTGTTGAGATGATTCCTCTATTCCCACTTTGCTGAATTTTTTTTTTTATCATAAATGGGTGCTAGAATTTATCAAATGCTTTTTCTGCATCTATTGATATAGTCATGTGGTTTTTATCCTTCATTTCTTTTATGTGGAGTATCAAGTTCATTGATTTTTGGATATTGTGCCAACCTTGTGTCTCTGGAGTAATTTGCATTTGATCATAGTGTATGATCTCTTTAATGTATTACTAGACCCAGTTTGCTAATTTTTTGTTGAGAATTTTAGTATCTCTGCTCATCAGGGATATTAGCTTATAATTTTCTTTCTCTGTAGTATCTTCATCTTCATCTGGTTTTAGAATTAGGGTAATGCTGATCTCCTAAACAGAGCTTGGAAGTCGTCCCTCCTTTTGGAAACTTTTGGAATAATTTGAGAAGGCCAGGGGTTAGTTCTTCTTTGAGTGTTTGTTAACATTCACCTGTGAAGCTATCTGGCCCAAGACTTGTGCTGTTCGGGAGGGTTTTTGTTTGTTTTGATTACTGCTTACATTTCATTAGTTTTAATCTATCTATTCAGATTTTCTGATTCTTCCTGAATCAGTTTTGCAAGATTATATGTTTCTAGGAATTAATCCATTTCATCCAGATTGTTTAACTTGTTGGCATATAGTTGCTCATAATATTCCTTCACAATCTTCTTTATTTCTCTGGCATCAGTTGTTATCTCTCCTTTCATTTCTGATTTTTTTTTGGGGGGGTCTCCTCTGTCTCTCTCCCCAACCCCCTTCCTGGTGAGACTAGCAGGATTTTGAAACAACTTTAAAGAGGTGGCCCAGGTGGGGTGCCCTCAGTGTTAAGGTTCTGGTTTTAGAGCTCAGCCTGGGAGACAGCCTTGCAAGGAAACTGAAAGTGTGCTCTTCCAGCACAAAGGTGAAGCTGGCTCATATAATGATGCTCACCCCTGGCCCCTGATTGGCCCCCTGTTATGCAACTGAGGACTCCAACTCATCACAATTTGGCCCAAAGAGCACTCCCTAGTCTTCAATTGGACAGGAAAGTCTCAGCTCTGCTGGTTGAATTTCAGTCCTATGAACTCTTACCAAGGTTGCCTCATGATGCAGGAGCAGCGTGCACAGGCTGACCACTCAGCCTGTGGCTTTTCGCTGGTGGGCAGTGTGCATTTAGAGGCCTCTGCCATAACAGCTGCTTGGCTCCGGTTTTATACTTGGGCCCAGTCAGCCACAAAAAGTCCTTGGCAGATATTCTCTTTCTCGGAGTCAAAACAGGGAAGCAGAGGTCGTAACTACAGAACTAAAAATCAGCTACATTCTTTAAGACACATGTCACTATGTTAGCTTATCTGCATCTGAAGAAATTCCTTCCTTAATTTATTAACACCCATAGAAATGTCTTCCTTCTTTTCAAGTAATTGTCCCCTTCCCTTTATGATAAATACCCCTTGCCTTCACCTCCTAATAGAAACCCTATGAGTTTCTGCCTAAAACAGTGCCTCTGGAATAGCTGCTCTTTTAAATCGTACTTCTCACCTAGATTTTTTTTTCCAGTTAACATATCAAACATACATATTCTTAAACTTACCGCCACCTGTATCTTTTCACATTCTTTGACGTGTCTACTAGAAAGTAGAAAGCTACACGTGGACTCGGTTACATCTCTATAGGGCAGCCCCCCTGCAATGTCAAGTCCAAGCTCACTCGCCCACTAGCCACCTGTTACATACAAACCCTAGACCTCCGGGCCTGGGAGGAGCCCGAGAAAGGTTTGTTGAATAAATGCATGAGTTGTGCAAAAGAGAACCCGAACTTTTTACCAATCAGAGGTTAAGAACTTCACTTATGTTTGGCAAAGACACTCCCCAGTACCAGGCGCAGGTGGCATCTTCCCCAGCCTTTTAAATCGTAACCTTGCTCTGGCACCCCTGGAATTCGACCCATAGCTCAGAGACCAAGACACGTATTTTTCCCTTTTAAAAAGAATCCATTAGAATTCAGGGGTTACCAGCTAGTTCAGGCCCAGAGAAGGGTGGCCAGAATGCGCGGAGCTTCAGAGCACGCTAGAGGAGGCCTGGGAGGGTAGGAAGGGACTGAAATGGGTGGGGGAGGAATCCAGACAGGCTTCGGAGGCTAAGCCGGGACTGGACCGAGGGGCAGGACTTAAGGGGGCGGAGGGGCCGGGAGGAGGGGAAGGGTTATTAAGGCTGGAGGTGCTGACAAACAGAGGGCGAAGGGAGCCGGTTGGAGAAGCAGAACCCCAGGCCTGAAAGGGAGCAGGTCCAGGGAGGGGCTGGCCTGCAGAAAGGGGGTGGGGATGTGACGGGGCGGAAAAGGAGGAGCCGGGGGCGGGGCGGGGCGGGGCGGGGCGATGGGGCGGACGGAGGCATAAAAGCCTCTGCGGGCGGGTGGGGCTCGCGGCATCCAGATCGCACCCTGCACACCCGTCTCCCCGCTGTAGCGTTCTGTTCCCTGGAGGCGACCATGGCCGGGCTCTCGCGCGCCCCGCTGTTCCTGCTCGCCCTGGCCCTGGCCCTGGCCCTGACCGCGAGCCCCGCGGCCGGCGCCAACGCCGGGAGGCCGCGCCTGGTGGGCGGCCTGGCGGAGGCGGACGTGAACGAGGAGGGCGTGCAGCAGGCGCTCAGCTTCGCCCTGAGCGAGTACAACAAGGCGAGCAACGATGCCTACCACAGCCGCGCCATGCAGGTGGTGCGCGCCCGCAAGCAGGTGCGTCCGGGGGCCGGGGGCTGGGGGCTGGGATCGAGGTAGGGGGCCGGGGTTTGGGCCCGGGGCCAGGGCGAGAGGATGGGGAGGAGGTGCCTGCGCCCCGGGGGCGTGGCCTTGTGACGCGATCAGCCCCGCCCCAAGTGCCCTACCCGGGACACTGTCACCCTCCAGTGCTTCTAAGTCCGGGAGGTTCTCTGGTCTTGCATGTGACAGACCATCACAGGCTTATTCACCAGGACTGGCAGAGGGTCACAGGCTCTCTGGGTCCGTGCCAGGCCTTCGCTTATGTTTTCAAGCACCCGCCCAGCAAGGACAGGGCTTGTGATCCAGCCCACTTATCTCCCTACCGGTCCCTGGGACTGGGGGGTCAGAGTGAGTTGGCAACTTAATGACCACAGGCTGCATACAGGCTGCCCTCCCGGCTCTGCCATTGAGTAGTGTGGTGTTTTTTTTTTTAAAACACACACACACACACACACACACACACACACACACAAACCACTTTATTCCTCTTAGCTTTTCATGTTGACGTAATTTCAGACTTACAGAGAACGTGCAACAATAGAACATAGGATCCTGTAGATTCTTCCCCCAGATTAGTCAAAAATGTTGCCCTGTTTGCTTTACCCACCTCCCTCTTTCCCCACATGTGTGTGTGTGTGGGGGGGCTACATATATGCATTTATTTCTCTGAACCATTTGGGAGAGAATATATTTCTTAAAAACAGGCATTTTAAAAAATAATCACATTTTTAAAAAAATATATTTTATTCATTTTTCACAGAGAGGAAGGGAGAGGGATAGAGAGCTAGAAACATAGATGAGAGAGAAACATTGACCAGCTGCCTCTTGCACAACCCCTACCAGGGATGTGCCCACAACCAAGGTACATGCCCTTGACTGGAATCGAACCCGGGACCTTTCAGTCCACAGACCTACACTCTACCACTGAGCCAAACCAGTTTCGGCAAAAATAATCACATTTTGAACAGCAGGTGTCAACACTGAAATAGTGACCTAATGCATAGACTTACCGGATGTCCATGATAGTTCCACCGGGGGCCTTTATAGCCAAGGACGCTCCCGGTTCACGCACTGCAGCCCCCTTTACCCTGGAGCAGCCTGTCTGCCTGCCTCATCACCTTGGCATTTGCGAAGGGTCCAGCCTAAATGTGCAGACTGGCACTCAGTTTGTGCTGCCCTGAGGTTTCCTTGATATAAGATTTGGGTCATGCAAAAGAGGATGTTCTCTGAGTCTCCTCTCAACAGGTGCCACTAAACCAACCTCCCCCGTCCCCTCTGTGCGATGGTATTTGGGGCCTCAGGCACTGAGGAGGGGCCCTCCCTGCTCCCCTGGTCACCTTGAGGGACCCAGCAAACACAGGGAAGTCCAGGATGAGCTTGTGGCATCCAGCCGGATGCTACGGCAGAGGGTCTTGCATGAGATTCCAGACCTGCTGAGAGACCCTGGAGGAAAGGCCACTGGAGTGTTCTTCCCTCCAGAGGTCAGAGCTCCGGAGGAGGCTCTGGGTTTTGAAGTCTCATTCCCCACCCTTCGATGGGTACCCACCACCAGCAGCCGAAGGTAGAGAGGACCACCTGACCCTGCCTCTGCCAGCTGGCCCTGAGGTTCTGGCCAGCTAGGGAGAGCAGCCATCAGAGTCCAGAAGGGGATTGCAGGGCACTTCCGGAGAGGCTGCTGAGCCTGGAGCTTGTCCTTGGAGGAAGGCTGGCATTTAGACCATGGAAGAGCAGAACGTAGCCACCCAGCAGCAGAGTGCGGAGCCTGCTGCATGCCAGTGTTTAGAGCCTGTTCTCACCTCCTCTTGAAATGTCAGACGATGGATCAGGATGGGACCCATTTCTCCAGCAGCCGCTGGCTGGCACTGCCCCCTTGGGAGGGGACACGCACTCCTTGCTCACCGAGTCCCTGCCAGGCACAGCTCCTCTCCACTGTGATCCTGGCTTGGTGTCACAGCTCATCGGCCCATGTGGAAAACTGACACCAAGGGCACCTCTGTATTACTTTCAACAATAAAGATAATTAAAAAAAAAAAAAAAAAGAAAGAAAGGAAATGACAGCAGAGGGACTTGCTTGACATCCCTAGGCAGAGTCCAGAGCCTGGTCCGGTCCCCTCGTCTCGAGGTTCTCTGAATTCTCACGAGGTGTGTCAGGGTGGCCTGTGTGAGCACAGGTTTCACATCTGTCATCTCAAATGCGAAAGACACAAGGTGTGAGGTGTGTGGCACACATTAGAGGAGTTCCCCTCACAAATAGCTTGAAAGGCAGGCATCCCAAAGGCATCTGTTATTGGCCTCAGATGTGCGTGCCTGTGCATGTGTGTGTGTGTGTGTGTGTGTGTGTGTGTGTGTGTGTGTAAAACATCTGCTCAGTGGGGCACGAGTAACCTGGTTCCATGGAATGAGAGTCTCGATGGGCAGTTACCAACTGGACTGTAACTGCAAGGCCATTACCAAGAGAGTCTTCTGAGGCAGAAGCAGCCACCAGCAGAGCTGTCATTTTGCCTTGGCCCCTGCCCTGGTCCCTGGCGCTGGCCCAGTGGATCTGCTGATACCCTGGCTGGTTCCCCAGAGCTGCACCTCTAGCTTCTGGCAGAATGGTGATGTCTGGCTCCACCTTTGGTTTTCCTGCCTCTCTTCTGCCAGGCTGTGTGTCTCACCTTGTCAGAGCTGCTCCGTAAACAAGTTACAAGGAGGGCCTGGGGCACGGCTTGGGCAGCTGTCAGGAGGTGGCTGGGCGCTTCCTGGGCGTTGGCTCTGGCAGCCCCTGGATGCTGGCGCAGTGCGTGCTAACGGGAAGGTGCCTGCCTGGGTGACGTGGGCAGGTGATGAAAACCAATCCTTCCTATTCCGGGCACAGGTCGTGGCTGGGATGAACTACTTCTTGGATGTGAAGATTGGTCGAACCACATGTACCAAGTCCCAGCCCAACTTGGCCGCCTGTCCCTTCCATGAGCAGCCGAACCTGAAGAAGGTATGTACTTGATGTGGGCCGGAGGCCATGCACACAGGACACAGGGCGCCCTGGGCATGTGTCATGGGTGGGTGCTGTGGCCTGGGAGGGGTGTGCAGGGGCCGGGGTGTGTGGGGGAAGGATGTCAGTGTGTGTGTACAGGTCCCTCATTTGAATCGATAAGGGCAGTTGAGCGGGGATCTTTGAACAAACACCACATGCTTTGGTGGATTGTTGCCTTCTGACTGAAGGAAGCAGCAGGGTGGAGATAGGGCCCTTTAATCTCAGCCTGAGCCACTGGAACAGATTAGAGGGAACTGGAGGCCTTTCCGGAGAAGCCCATCCATGTGGCCCTGCTCACTGAACACCATTTTCTCCCCTGGGCTTGACTGGTTCTTGGGATGGCTTAGCCGTTGGGGAGACCTCCATCTGCTTGTCACCTCCCCAAACACTCTGACTCTTTCAGGGGAGTTTCCAGTCATAGTGCTAGCCCACTGGAGGTGGAGGGAACCTGGCTCGTGCCCTGCACCCACTGGGGCTGCGTGGCTTTGCTGGGCTGCTCCTTAAAGGACCATGCCGGGGGTACACCAGTGTGGATTCCTGCAGGGACAGGGGAGTGAAGGTCTCCTGGACTTGGAGTAACGGGAGGGGTCACCAGGAGGCCCCTGCTGGTCCTGCATCGTTATCCATGGCTCCGCGGGGTAGGGGGCCGAGAGGTCCAGCAAGCAGCCACGGCTCCTCACCTGCCCTTCGGAGACCTCATGCTGGGCCATTTCCTTTTTTACTGAAACCCTAACTGACCGTCTCTCTTGTCTCCCTTTTGCAGGAAGCACTCTGCTCTTTCCAGATATACACCGTCCCCTGGCTGGGCAAGACCTCCTTGGTGAAGTCCAGCTGCAAGAACGCATAGAGGAGATGTGCCAGGCCGGGCCACGCAGGCTGCCTCTCGCTTGCACGCCCCCCTCCCTGGTGGGGCCCCCTCAGTGTGCTGGCCTCAGGAGACAAACGGAGAAGCTTCCTGAGCCTGGTGCGTGACCAGCGAAGTGGCTCTCACTTGCTTCTTTCTGTAGAGTGCTTTCTAGATGCACCCGTGCCGGGTGCACGTTCGTTCTGCTTCCCCTTTACGCAATAAAACATGACATCAGCTACTCCTTGCGTTGCTCACTGTCTCGGGGATGTGCCTGAGGGTTTACAGTTACTTTGCCAGGAGCTCCTGTCCCGCTGGCTCTGGAGGGCAGACGAGAGGAGAGAGCTGACACGGTCGGCCATAGCGGGCATGTTCGCGGAATGTGCTGCCCCGTCCGGGTGACCGAGTCACAGAGGGGGACTGGGAACCAAGGCTTTCGGCTGTGGTGGCTCCTGATCACCTGAAAAAGAGGAAGGGACCTGAGCTGCTGGCTCTGACGACTTGGCTGCTGAGGCTGTGAAGAAGCCGGACTGTGAGCAGGGCTGGACAGAAGGGAGGGGTCAGACGGAGCCCGTGGGCCATGGCCTCCCTCAGCAGGGTTCTGCAGAGCCATAGGTCTCCTTCCACCAGATGTGCTGAGCTGATCAGACCCCAGGAGCTGATGGCTGAGGTTCCCTAGAGGCCAAGGCAGTGGTCGGCAAACTCATTAGTCAACAGAGCAAAATATCAACAGTACAACGATTGAAATTTCTTTTGAGGGCCAAATTTGTTAAACTTCTAACACCACTTCAAAATAGACTTGCCCAGGCCGTGGTATTTTGTAGAAGAGCCACACTCAAGGAACCAAATAGCCGCATGTGGCTCGAGAGCCGCAGTTTGCCAACCACTGGACTAAAGAATAATTCACCTGCTTCTCTTCATTATACTCTGCTGTGTGGCTAAGCAGACGTAAAACAGAGGAGCAGTTCATGAAATGGTAGCTGAACAAGGAGAAGAGTTCTAAGCAGTCCTTCCGTTCTCTCGCCCTTAGAATTGGGTCTGGGGTAGGGGGTGGAAGGCACCGTGTCAGATGATACAGAGGTTTCTGTAGCCCAGGATCAGACACAGGGTCATTCAGATGTCAGGCAGAGCCCTGGCTGGTATGCTCAGTGGTTGGAGCATCACCCTGTGTACTGAAAAGTCGCAGGTGCCATTCCTAGTCAAGAGCATGTACTTGGGTTGCAGGTTTGATTTCCCGCCTCAGGCAGGCGTTTGTGGGAAGCAACCATCAATGTGTCTCTCTCATATCCATGTCTCTTTCTTTTTCTCCCTTCCCTCCCCCTGCCTTCCTTCTACCCTCTGTAAAAAATCAGTAGAAAAAAATATCCTTAGATGCCCACCTGGTGTGGCTCAGCAATTGAGCATTGACCCATGAACCCAAGAGATGACAGGTTCATTTCCTGGGCAGGGCACGTGCCTGGGTTGCGGGCTCAATCCCCACCCAGTAGGAGGCTTGCAGGAGGCAGCTGATCGTTGTTTGTATCTTCTCTTCCCCTCTCTCTAAAATCAATAAAAACATATTTTAAAAAAATATCCTTAGGTGAGGATTAACAACAACAACAACAAATGTCAGCTGGCGTCCCCAAATCTCAGGCATGGCTGCCTCTGCCATCACTGGAGGAGCTTTAAAAAACGCTGATGCCTGCTTTGCACTCTGAGAAATTCTGACTTAATTGGTTAGGACTGGGACCTAGGCATTGGGATTTTGATATTCAACTGATTCCCAAAGGAACTGAAGAACTGTAACTCAATTAGATTTCCTCTAAAAGTCCTATTACTCCTGAAACATCTATAATTTGTAGCCGGTGCAGGATTCTCTCTCCGTCACACCTGCATCTAGACGTGCTTTGGTTCCAGGGATCTAGGCATGTAACCACCCTCCTCCTTGATTCCCAGTAAATGAAAAGCAACCAAACAAAACCATATGAAAAACATCCTTCTATCAAAGCCTTCGTTAGGTCATGAACTTTTGTGGAGATTTCAGGTGGCCAAAGAGATTTCTGTGGAGCAATAACCTTGACATATTCAACCCTTTCCTTGAAATGCTCTTGACCTCACTCCTAGAGGTCGTTGCCCTTTGACCTTCACCTCACGGAGTCACTGACCTTCTTTCTATCACTAGTTCCTCTTTCCTTGGCATTTCTCATTTGTCCACCCTATCCCTCTCTCTGTGGGGCAGAGCAGCTCAGTTCTTTCCAGACTTAATCACACCCATCAAGGTGCTCAGAAAATAAAGGGCTCTCTGGCAAACCTTCTGAGTGAAGTCCTTTCATCATGAATAACAACATGTTTTCCTTTTACCCAAATGCCTGCCAAATCCAGGCCCTGAGGAACAGACTGAGGGAGATACCTGCCTGTCCTGAATGGCCACCAGCCCAGGAATGGTGCTGAGGAATGCCAGCTCCTGGCCCTGTGTGTTTCTCACATCCCATTGTCCAGGTGGAGGTAACACCACGGGAAAATCCCCGAGGTTGGCGCTGACTCGCAAATCAGAGAGTGCCTGCCTTCTTATGATAAAAACGAGATAATAATTCACTGGGCAACGGCCCCTCCTTTCCTCTCATTGCACCTGTTTTCAGAGGAGGTGACTTTACCTTTGGGACCTTGGCTTGGAGAAGGTGACCTTGGCTAAGCCAGTCAGGACAGCCCATCACCCCACACCTTGGTGATTGGATTAAAGATGTCACAGAACCCAAGGCCGGCCACCTGGGGGTGGGGGATCGGGGGGCTCCTGAGGCTTAATGTGGGATTTTGTTAAGCTACTTAAAAAGCAGGCTCTCTCTAGCTGGGTTTGAATAGAAGACAGGCAGTCCACAACAGTTTGAGAATAAAGCCAGATTGCAGGGGGCACAATAACTGAGTCAAGACACACACACACACACACACACACACACACACACACACACACACACACACAAAACAAAAACAAACAAACAAACAAAAAAAACACAACAGCAGGTCATTGACATCACCTGAGTCCCAGCACTGAGCAGCGCCTGCCGTCCGGACCTCTTACTGTGTTTCCCCGAAAATAAGACATCCTCCGAAAATAAGACCTAGCGCATGGAAAGATAAGACATCCCCTGAACATAAGACCTACCGCAACTTTGGGAGAAAAAATTAATATAAGACACTGTCTTATTTTCAGGGAAACAGGGTGGTTATGTGAGCCGGTCATTCCCTCTCTTCAGGCCTGCTGGTTGGTTTTTCTGGTGCTTGTGCTCTTATGAGTCCTACCTGATAGAGAGGAGCAGAAACTGAACTCACCGTTCATTTCTTAGATCTGATTGTCCCACGACATTTCTTGACTGTTTCAAAGTAACCCTCCAAGAGGTCACCTTTAGAATGTGCAGGTCCTGCCCTCTGGACCTCGGAGGCATTAGACCACTGTTAAAAGTGCAACATCATAGGCTGACCTCTGCCTAACAAACAGGCATGGCTCAAACTATTTTTTTCCTTTTTTTTTTTTTTTAAATTAAGTTATTATCTGTGTACATATGGCTGGGACTATTAAGGGCCACTACTATAAAGAATTTTTTTTTAAAAAAATTATTGATCTTACCGAGAGAGAAAGGAAGGTATTAGGTTTGATCAAATAATGGAATCGATACCCCCTCCCCTGGGAACTGATGTTTAGGCCACTTCACAAGGGACATTCCACTTGCTTAGACCACATTCCACTTGCTAAGACCATTATCTCTCCCCTCCGGAGTTTCCCAGAATCCGTACCTGCCCAGGGGATACTCCGCCCAGAAAAAGGCCCCCTAGAGTCCTTTAAAAACCTATGACTCTCCTCTTTGGGGGCTGGCATCATTTGGGGGCTCAGTCCAGCTGGTATCCAGATGACCTAATACATTTCATAATTCTTTACCCCTTTTGTCCTCAGGCATTCCTCCTAACAGGAAGGAGAGAGAGAGAGAAGAAGGGAAGGAGAGGGAGAGAGAGATTTGTTGTTCCACTTATTTATGCAGAGTGATTCTGATTGGGTTTATTTGGAATTCTGCTGACTACCCCAAACAAATGTCAATGTGAAAAAGGTCCAAATCTGTAAATCATTTTTTTTAATAAAAATTCATTTGAGGCAAACAAAAAGATAAACCTGGAAGCAAGATTGCCACAGACTTAGATGCTTCCCAGAATGGCAGTTTGAAGTTTATTTTATGAATTTGGAATTAAGGATGGGGTATAAGGGAGTTTACATACAGGTGGAAATAAGGAAGGCATGGACTGAATTGCAAGGTAGTTAACAAGATTATGTGCTCTCTCCAGAGTGGGAACTCTTCAGAGTGTCTAAAAAAGAGACACCTAGGACAGAAATGCTCAAATCAGATGAACATATTAGAATGCTTACATTTTCTTTTCTCCTAGAGGAAGACTTGGGGAGCTTGAGAGGCATGTCCAATGAATCAGCTCTCTAAGAGGAAGGTCTTAATCAGGGAGGCAGTGGCTGAGTAGATCATATGAGCCAGTGTCAGCCTACAGGACTGTGTGTGCACTGGCCTCTTACCTTGCATGCTTATTGCTGCCTGAAATTCCTTTAACACAAGCTGAAACCTCTTGTTCCACAATCTATATACTAGAGGCCTGGTGTACGAGATTTGAGGGGGGTTAAGGGTTTGTCCCTCAGCCCAGCCTGCACACTCTCTGATCTGGGACCTTCAAGGGATATTCAACCTCCGGTTTACAGGGACCAGGCTATGGGCGTATAACCAGCCTGGGTGAGGGGCTGAGGGCTGTTTGCAGGCTGGCCAACCCCCCAAGGGGTTGTGGGGATGTGGCCAGCCTGGGTACAGGGTTTTTTTTCCTTGCTTGTTTTTTTTTCAGTGCCTTCTTGAGTGGAGGCCAGGGCTAGCTGGAAGCAGGTATCTGGGATTGATTTATCTTCTATAATTGAAACTTAGTAGCCTTGAGCAGAGGCGAACTCTGGCCAGGGCAGGTGGGAAACTTGGCTTACTCCTTCACTG